GGGGTCGGGACGAGGGGCTGGCTGGGCAGGGGTGTTGTATGTATGTTTGTATGTTTGTATGTGCTGTTTTCTTTGTCAACCACTCACTCACTCACCACAAGCAATTCGTTCGTTCGTTTAGCGGCTTTTTTCCAACCACAGACAGACAGAGTGCGGCAGAGCAGATTCGTTCGTTCGGTACGGTCGTTTTTGTTGCGGCTGGCTGGCTGCGGCCACTCGACTGACCCGACCCGACACGCAGAGGAAAGCTATGGAGAGGAGGGGGTGGTGTTTTGCTACCTCGTGTGTCTGTCTCGTGTGTGTGGGCCCCTTCCTCCCTGGCTTGTTGGCAGTACTTGACGCACACACACACATAGCTACTATGTGGTGGCTTGGCTTGGCTGAGTGACATGCAGGCACAGGCAGTGAATGAGTGAGTTGTGTCTGGTCAAGTCGATCGCCTGCTGCCCATTCAGCCAGCCAGCCAGCCAGCCAGCCGTCTCTCCATCCATCATTCACACACACACACAGTAGGTAGACCGTGTACACTAGAGAGCGGTGATTGACGGATTTCTGGGGGGATGGGAGGGTGGGGACGGCTGATTTGGTCTTATGTTTTAAACCAAAATGGACAGACAGACAAGGTGAATGAAGTTGTGTGTCCGTCCGTCCATCCATAGCCCCCGGGGCGTATCGTATGTGTGTTGTGGGTGGGTGGGTGGATGGATGGATGGATTAGGGGATTTGTGTGTGTGTGTGTGTGTGTGTCTGCGCGGTGATTGCGGTGCGGACCCCCTGATTATTGTCAGTCAGTCAGTCAGTATCGATTATTCATTGATCGTGTCAACCGCCTCTTTGTGAATTGAAACAAACTATATCCTGTGAAGCGCAAGGAGCAACGACTTAAGTCGGTCTGTATGCAGCTGTTCTTAAGAAGAGCCACATATAGAATAGAAACACACACACACACACACACATCTCTACGCCCCCCCTCCCCCCACCCACCCACCAGCCGTGACTATTTGTTTATCTATCGGTAATATCGAAAAATGACAACTGAATTATGTACACAACACATGGACACAGCAGACAGATAGATTGGACTGAATTCAATCAACTACGCCCCTGCCCCTCTGCCTTTCCCTCTCTCTGGTGTCTGGTGGTGCGTATCCCTCCCATTCTGCAGAAAACGACGTGGGCCAGCCAGCCATTCATTCACTCAACCAATCAACAAACGTGCGCAAGCAACGTAAAGACAGCCAGCCGAGTAATCACTCACCTATAAACCTGTTAGTATGGTGTGTGTATCTGTGTGTCCTTCATGTACACGAAGCCCTCCCTCTCCCCCATCCCTCTCCCCTCCCCTCCCCTCCCCTCTCGGGACATTGCAATACATTGTTATCGACAAACACATGTGTGCCTGGCTGGCTGGCTGGCTGATGGGTATTGCATCAACCTTCCTTTGCACACCTACACGACACGCGCACATCACATGTATGTGATGTGTGTATGTATGTGTGTATGTATGTGTGCAAAGGATAGCATACAGCTGTCTGTCTGTCTAGCTGTCTTGAGTGTTGCGGCTCTTTGGCCCCTTGCCACCCTCTCTGCTGCTGCTGCTGCTGTCCCTCGGCCCCCCCATCTGCCGGTCCCACTTGGAGGCCTGCGTGGCGTGTGCATGGGCCGACAACAGGCCCTCCTCGACCTTCTTGTGGCCAGCCTCAGCCTTGGAGGCCATCTTCACCTCACCGTCCATCACGTGGTCCTTCTCGCGCTTGGCCGCTGACCCCTTGCCTTTGCCCTTGCCCATGCTGCCCTTGCCCTTGCCTGCACGTCCTGGCGGTGGCGGGGGAGGGCCCTTGCCTTTACGCTCCTTCTCCCTCTGCGCCCGCTTCTTCTCCACCGTCTCCTCACGGAACTCCAGTGGGAAGAGCTGGCCGTCGGGATCTCTCTCCAGGATCTTCTTCTCGATGTCCGTCGACAGACCCTGAAGCCGGTCGCGCATGTTGTCGATGACGCCGCCGGCCCAATCGACCGAGCGCTTGACCGGGCCCGAGTCGTCGCCTTCAGGTCTGCCGCGGGGGCGAGGCCGGGGAGCGCGCTCGCCCTCGGCGTCCTCGGCGGCCTCACCGTCCTCCGCGGCCTGCTGCTGCTGCTGCTGCTGCTCGACGGTCAGCCACTCGCCGGTGGAGATGGGCGTGTCATTGGAGCGGTTGCGGCCGATGGTGCGGGCCTCCTGGTCCAGCTCGTAGGTCACTTGGTGGGTGTAGTCGGGGAGGTCGGCCTCACCGGCTTCCTCTGGCGAGGCATCGGGGGCCGCCTCGGGCTCGTGAGCCGCAGGCTGCTCGTGCTCCTCATCGTCGCCATAGTAGGAGGGGCGGGGGCGGGGCTGGGACGAGTAGGAGGCCTGGGGCAGCTCGGCGGCCTCACCAGCCTCAGAGGCGGGCTCGGGGTGAGCAGCTGGGGGCAGCGGCAGGTCACCCTCTGGCTGATCGGGGAACATTGGAGTGCCAGCAGAAGGGTCGCGGTAAGGGCCGGGAGGCCGGCCCTCGAGGATCTCCTCCCCCTCCGACGCATCACCCTCCTCGGCCGGCTTGGCTGCCTCGGCGCTCTCGCTGTCCTCCTCTGCTGGCTCGGCGGCATTTGCCTCGTCCAGTGCGGCCTCCATGATGTCGCGGTCCGGGGCGTCACCGTAGTAGTCCTCACTCGCCGCAGGGGTCGGCCCGGCGGCCTCCGCCGCCTCATCGGCCTGCAGGCCTCGCCCCGTCGAGCGGCTACTAGCTCTGCTCCTCCTGCCACGAGGTGTGGCTATGCCGGGGAGGATGGATGAGCCGAGAGCGCTCAGCCCCAACGCGCCGGAGCCCACACCCACCCCTCCGCTGACGTCGGCACTGCCGAGCTCCTCTGAGGCCCCGGCGCTGACCGAGGCCGGCCCGGCGAGGACGTCTGTCTGGAAGGACCGCTCCTGCTGGTTGGCACCCACGCCGATGAAGTTGTTCGAGTTGCCCACGCCGACACTCGTGGCGCGCTCCACACGGTTGCGGCCGACGTCTGCGCCCCAGTTGCCGAAGCTCACGACGCTGCACACACAGAGGAGGAGAGAGCCACACATGTACGGAATTTGTGCGGTGACAGGGTGCATGGTGGCGCGTGTGTGTCTCACTTTCTGATGGAGTTGAGGAAGTTCCGGGGCAGGAGGCCCGAGAAGATGCCGAGGCGTCTGCGTGCGGGCTCCTCCTCATGCACGGTCATCATCGGGAGGGTGACCAGTCCGATGACGAGCAGGGCGCTCGCCGCCACCATCGCTGCTGCGAACCGCCATCGTGACTGTCCGTGGGAGCTTTGCTTCTTGGCGGCGCTGGCGGACTTCATTGCTGTCATCTGACTGGAAGGTTCACGAGACGCTCCTTGGCATCAATCGCTGAGAATCAAAGCCTTCAACGGCTAATCGAGCGGGATCGCGTACGAAGACGTAAATTCATGAGGTCACTCACAGGCTTGCCCTCGCCTGCCTGCTGGCCTCAAACCTGCTCGCAGCATGGATTCTGCGCCTACGTATCTGTTTCTTCGTCCTGCGCTTCTCGCGGCGCTTCGCGACTCAGCAGGAACAAGACCCTACCGTATTCCTCCTCGCAGACATCATGTATTCCTGGCATCCTGCCGTCAGCGTGTGGACGCTCCACGTGGATCTGCAGGCACTGTTCTCTCGCCGTCTGCCCCTTACCGCTCACACACCGCACAATTGAGATGGGTCTTGAGGTCGTCGGTTCGTCGCAGGCTGTTTTGGTGCTCCTCCAATGGATCGTGCAGCAGGCTTACTCATTCGCACAGCAGCACGCGGCTCAGTTCGGTGGCTCTGTCACGGTAGAATGCAGCGAAAGGAGCAATTCAATGCGGAAACGGTGCACGTCACCACGTGTATGTTCGTGGATCTTGTGTGTGTGTGCAGGTCACGATCAATCCTGGTCTGTACAACCCTACATCCTCTCCGGCAGTGCAGGTACTAACGAAGGCTGCATGCCTCAGCTGACCGTCGTGTGCACTCACTGTCATCCCCACGTCCATCCATTCAGGCGTTCTTCCAGGCTCTGCAGCAGCTGTGCGGCAGCTATGGCACTGTCGAGGCCATGTGTGAGGCCATGAAGGCGGGAGGAGTGTTCGCCTGGTAATGTGATGCATGCATGGGTCACTGACACTGATGTTGCCTTCTGAGCGCTGTCTATATGTGGTGTGGCTGATGGGTTGATGCAGGCACGGTACGGACCTGAGCAGCCTCGTCAATATCTGCCGCAACAGCTGGAACGTCAACTGCCGAAAATGCGGCATCCCTGCTGAATTCTTCGGCGCCACTCCTTCCGTTTCGCTCGGATACACGAAGGTCGGTGGTGCATTGATTGCCTGGACTTTCTCTGTCAGACCCCCGCTGTCTTGATATCACAATGCTCTGCGTGGCTGTCTGTGCATTTATGTGGGTGTGCAGGGTGGTCAGCATCTGATTCTGGCCTTCCTGCTGCCCTCTGGTTTCCTCTCTAGGGCGCATGGCCATGTCACCGTCGCCAACCCTTTGCACTCGTCGGAGCGTTATTGCCTGCCTGTGGCTGTCGTCTCGCGATCTGGCGTGGCGCCTCCCGGTCTCTACTGATCGAGGCAAAGAAGAAGCGGGCTGACTTTTTGTCACCACTGGCACTTTCATTGATGTGAGGCCTTTAGCGACACGAGGGTGTTCTAAATGTGCGATAGCTAGATGGAGCCGATATCCTCTTCCGCCCTGTGAGATTTTTCTACTGTCTGTTTTTTGTTTTGGCTTTGAATGCAATGGAATGGGTGCAGAATACCTTATTGTGAGGAGAGCGGACCACATGCATGCATGCAGCATTTGAACGGCCGGCAGTCATTCATGAAAGACTCGACATGCACATAAGTTGATTGTGTCTCGATCAACAAGCCCCCCAACCGCAGCACAGCGAGAAGCGACCTCTGACGAGAGAAAGACCACTCATGCAGCGAGCAAGTGAGAGAGATGGGCAGACAGCCAACTAACCATGGCAGGCAGCCACCACATGCACTCACGCCCGAAACGTCCAGAAAGCCAAGCCGGCCGATAGACAGACATCGATCGATCGACCAGTGAGTGCATTGGTCCTCTTCGCCATCTTTCCCCCCTCCCCCGTTTCCTTCTGCCCCCTGCCAAGGCGCGCGATGCCCGAGGCTCCAACTCTTTATCTCGTGGTCACGGCCTTAGGCCTGTACTTCATGCTGCTCCGACCAGTCGACCCCCCGGCTGACTCATCCTCTTCTTCCTCCTGGTCCAGAGTGTCGCCAAACGGGGCCGGCATCGCCAGCGCATTCCACGCCACCCCGCCCTCATTGATCATATTCTTGTTTGTGATGTCCACTGGCCGCGCACTCAGTGCCACCAGCCGCGGAGGAATCTGCACGGCAGCAGGTGCCCCTGCGGCTGCCGTGCAGATGCTGTCGCGAAGGCTGTGCCTGGCCGAAGCGGCGGGGCTCTTGGGGCGTGGGGGTGGTGGGGGAGGGGGTACGAGGGCTGCTGGGGGGGCTTCTTCTGTTTTCCTCAAGCGTGTCTCGATGTGTGTGATGAGCTCGTCTTCCCACTGTTGGTCGATGCTCTTCCTCTTTGTGGCGGAGGCCCTCCTCAGTCGGTTGCGCATGTAAAACTCCATGTCTGGCTCAGTTCTCAGAAGCACACGGCAGAGAGCGCAGCCCATTTACATCTCATCCTGCAGCAGCCACGGCACAGCAGAGCAACAGCAACAGCAGCAGAGGAACACAGACTTGCCGTGTCGAGACTCAGCGAGTGATAGGGGGAATGTGTGTCCTTACTTACGTATGGAATAACCGCTTGAGAGAAATGCTGCGTTGTCGGTGTCGGTTCTCGGCCGCAAGGCCTTCAGACTTTTAGTCATCCAATCGCCTGGAGTTGGCCATAACTGAGTCGGGGCTTCGTGGGGGAGGCAGACAACTCGTGGGGGCAACAGAAAGTGAGCGTTTCCTCAATTTGTGCCGTTGCGTGATGATGATTCGATTTTTTCGGCTTAGCTCGCCTTCCAGCCAACCCTTTCACCCCAGAAACCCTAGATTCAGGGAGAGCGACGACATTCGGTGAGAATGCCACGCAAAACACACGAAGGACTGCATAGAGGAACATAGGTTCTTGTTCTGTTTGGGTGTGTGCAGCCGTCCGTCTGTCGGTTGGTCATGACGAAGGCGGTGTACGCCAAGATATGGGCGTCGACGGCGCAGGCCACGCACCGGCGCAACTACGGGTACTACAAGCTGTGGTCCAACCTCAGCAAGTGGGCGCCCTTCGGCTTCTTCACCATCGGCTGGTTCTTCTTCCCCGCAATCCCTGACGGCTGGAAGAAGTTCTGGTCACTCGGCATCTGGCACAGCCATCGACTCTGCATGGACCAGAAGTACAGACCCTACGAGTGAGTAGACGGCCACCATGCCACGACGCCATCAGGGGAGGGCAGGGTGGGGGATGAGGATGGGGGGTCGGTGGGGAGTGTAGTGCGTGGCTGTAGCTGTTGTTGTGAGCTCAGTCATGTCCATGGTTGAATGGCTGTACACTGACCAACATGCAGGAGGGAGGGAGGGAGGGAGGGAGGAAGGCCGACGAACTTTTTCCGGCAACATGGGCTGGTGTGGTTTCGTGTGTGGGAGCCTTCTCGTTCTGATTCGTTCGGTCTGCCTGGATGGTGCTGCATTGTAAGGACAACTGGATGCGTGCCCTCACAGCATGTCGTGAGCGTTTCAATTCATAATGACGTCTGTCGAAAAAGTGGCTGGCAATCGTTCGTTGATCGCTGAAGACGCACATATGCCTGTCAGTCTCCGTATCCATCGACAGACACTGCCCACGAATGTTGCTGCACACACCATTCGGTATTGCGTCGGTCCGTACCATCGCTGTCGTGAGGTTCATGCCTTCGCCAGGCCACTTGACGAAAGTCACGGACATCACGGCATCAATGGTGAGACACCAGCAGAACACATGGCGATGCCGTCAACGATTGGAAAAGGACACGCAACGTACGCAGTCAGTCATCCTGCCAGCCCCTCCCTGCACACCCATCTCATTGCATCCAGCCCCTCTGCCTATCGTCGTTCATCCCTGTCAGATCGCCTCCTGTCGTCGTCATCCCGTCCGCGTGACCTCTGCCTGTCATGGTCAGGGCTGCCCCGCCGTTCCCTCTCACGGCGGTCACGATAGGAAGGCCTTGGACTGTCGCGGCGGCGGTCGGCGCGACTGAAGAGACAGACAAGACGAGAACAGATGCTGGTAACCAGGACTGCTCTGCTGCCTTGTCCTTCTCACCTTGGATGCCTCTCGTCGTCGCGATCCCCCCTCCCGCTGTCCCGCCCCGCATCCTTCTCGTTTCGCCGTCGATGGTGGTCCCTGTCCTCATCGTCGCTGTGGCGATCGCGGCGAGGGGGCGAAAGACGCTCCCGACGAGGGGGGGACAGACGTTCGCGACGAGGGGGAGAGAGATCAGCTGGGGGGCGGGGGGAGGGGGAGTGCCGCCTGTCGGCGTCGGAGTCGTCTCTGTGCCGTCGGGAGCGCTTCTGCTCCTTCTTCTGCTCCTTCTTCTGCCGCTTCTGGGCTTTCTTCTCCTTTTTGCGGCGCTTGCGCTCTCTGGCGTCTTCATCGGACGACTCTGAGCCGCCGGCGGAGCGATGGCGCTTCTCCTTCTTGTCGTGCGATGGGTCTGCGGTCAAACCAAGGCAGTGAGACCAGAGGACAAATATCGACGTGCGCTCTGTTTGCGCTCACCTCCATTTTCCTGTGCCGCCTCGGGAGCCTCCTCTTTCATCTTCTCCCTCTTGAAGTGCTGCAAGCAACAAACACAACCGACAGATAGACAGACGTGGTGTTTGTGTCTGTGCGGGGGTGTGCTCTGTGCTCTCACCGCTTTGAGTTCCTCCTCGCTCATCTGGTTCTTCAGCAGGAGAAACTTCTTGGGCTTCACACCACTGACATGGACACACACACACACACACACACAGACACACACACACAGAGAGAGAGAGATTGCAGCTTCGAGCGGCTTTCTCTTTGCTTACAGAGCCTCCTGCATGAGTTCGTCTTCGTACATCTGGGTGATGTCGCGCTCCTCCTGCAGCTTGGCCTGGGTGTCCTTGCCGACTTTCTGCGACCACCAGTCGTGCTTGAAGAACCGACCGCCGCGGCCCTGCATACCCACCATCAACGACTGACCTGCGCACACACGCACCCACAGAGAGAGGGAGAGGACACAGGATGCGTGTGAGTGCTGTGGTGCCTGTCGTGTGTCCGTACCCAGGTAGCATTCTCTGTCCTTCATGGTTTGGTCCTTGATGTCCTCCCATCGGAACTGCTCGAGACCTCCGCGCGTCCCCTCGCGCGGAGGACCGTCGTACGGCAAATCAACCATCGCTGAGGGACCATCAAGCCTTAGGGTTCATGAAACGGATCTGGCACCGGCTGAAATTATACTACGATGCCTGCCAACATCTTAACAACCTTCCTCTTCCTCTTCATCTTCCTCGCGGCAGTGTTTGGGGTGGACGAAAAGGTGAGAGGAGCGAGGAAGCGGCCTCATCACGATGCTGAGGGACTTGAAGCCGTGGCCACGCAAGCGGACGACGGCGCCGAGGAGGAGGAAAGCAGACCGCTGCTTTCTTTTCGATTAACACACGTCAACATCACCGGCCTCGACACGGTGAGAAGGAACGCTGCACGTCCTCTCCCATCCCCAGTTCATTTTGATTTGTGGCGGTGCAGATGGCGAAGAGGCTATCCTTTGAGTGGTCGGTGCGGCAGCTGCTGGCGGCGTCGCTCGGAACGGTCCAGGAGCATCAGATTCTCCTGCAGCCCATCTCCTACCTCCCAAAGGCAGACGAACTGCCGACCAACGCATCCCTCGACGTGCTGGCGGAGATCGTCCATTTCGACACCGATAACTGGACCTGGGAGGAGGTCGTCAGCTCGTGGCACACCGCCTTAGAGAATGAGCATTCCCCCCTGCGAGAAGGCTTTTCCTTGGACCTGTCTCACCCGACGTTGGTGGACACGCCGACGACCATCAGCACGGCAAGCGACGAGGAGGACAGCTACATATCGGCTTACATGGACGACATGCTGCTGGAAGTCGATGAAGCAGTCGAGGCGGAGGAGACGGTTCCGCCAGAAGTGCTACTGGGGGACACCTGAGATGGGTGCAGGGGAGTGAGATGAGATGGCTGCATGGACCGATGGGGTGCATACGAGATGATGTCGGTCTATTTTTCGTCCCTGGCAGGTCGCTGGCTAATTGACGTGATTCGGACACTGCCTTTGTACTCGGCTGGCTCAGGTCCGTCCGTCCGTCCGTCTGTTTGTGTTTCCTTGTAGGTGTGTGGATAGTGAGCAATACAGACAGACAGACAGTTAGTGAGCGCGTCTACACATCCGTGTACATAAATAAAGTATATGAGTATCATCATACGTAATATTGACATCCAGGCCAAGAGCAAACCAACGACCGCCACGCAATGCCATTCGCTCGGTCAGTCCGACGGCAAGCAAAACAGACAGAGAGCATCGTCCCACTGTCGTTTCATGGAACGACACGACGTCTATCCATCGGCTCAACAAAACAAATGAGAGCGCTCAATCGGCAGGTCGCTGTCTGTACACGTCCCACCCACCCACCCGCCCCTTCCCACTAGAGTCGTCGCTTCATTTGCAGGCAGACAGAGAGCTTGCCTCCTCAGCTCATTGGTACGGCGGCTGCGAGGCCAGGCTGCATCGTTTCGTCTGCTACACCGGCAGGCACGTACCTGCACACGCATCGCATACACACACCAGCCAGCCAGCCAGCCAGCCACGAGCCGGCATATTTTCAATGTTGCCTGGCTGGCTCTTTCCGCGGCCTTGTCTGTTATCTTTTTCTCACCAGAAGATGCAGGCAATCACGAAGTAAGCGCTCATCAGCATGACCCCTTCCAGCCAATTGGACTGCCCGTCCGCAAGCACACCTGTGGCACAACACAAACGACATGACGGCTGCAGGCAGGTGCTCCGTGTGAACTCTGCAACGGAGACCACCTTGGACTACGAGTACGCTAAGTGCGAGTGCGGTGGCCTCGAGCGTGTTGAAGTCCAGCGTCATTGGCTGATCCATCAGCCACCCAGCTATCACCGCCACTGGCACCGCAAACAACGCTATCTGCTCAAAGGGAGGGAAAGAGGCCACACACACACACACACACACGCACGGTCTAATCGTCCATCCCTCGTGTGCCGATTGATGGTGATGTGCTTTACTTGAGTGCTAGAGCCGATGGCGACCCCAATGGTCAGGTCTGGCTTGTTCTTCATGGCCACTGTAACAGCCGTCAAATGCTCTGCCGCATTGCCTGAGAGAGACCGACAAAACAAGGTGTGTCATGCGCATGTGGTGCGTGTGTGTGTCTGTCTGACCGACGATAGGCAGCAGTATGACGCCAATGAAGTCCTCAGGCACGCCCCACTCTGTCACAATGCCTTCTATGGATCCCACTAGGTAGTCAGAGTTCATGGCGATGATAAGGGTGACGACGGCCAGGAGGAACACAGCCGACACCCACGAGAGGTTGGCCACATCCCCCAGCTCGTCAATGTCGGCTGCACCTGCACACACACACACACATCGAAGCAAGACTGTGCAGTTGAGACCTCCACATGCGCTGTCCGCCTGATTGTTCGTATGTGTGTTGCTGCGGGCGTACTTTGGTCATCTTCCTGGCCTCCTTTGTCGTCAGAGAAGAGGTCTCTGTGTGTGCGCAGCTGGAAGTAGATGAATAGCACATACGTCAGCAGCATCACCACAGCCGCGATACGGGACACCTGAGCGGCCACAGACCACCCGAGCGACAACCATCACCTGTTGGCTTCCCTGCACGGAATGACTTACCGTGAGCACGCTGGACTCTTGCACGAGGGTCGAGTACTCGTGGAAGCATGACGTCAGCGCCATCCCAAGGACAGACAACAGCAGCAGAGATGTGCAGCTCGTGGCACCTGATCAAATCATCGAATGGATACACACAGCACAGCCATCTATTCCCCTGTCTGTCACCGTAAGTCCCTCTGTGTCGGTGTGTGGGTGAGGCACCCTACCCTGCACGTTGAATGTCTGCACATGGTGGTAGATGCCACCAAAGAAGAATGACATTCCCAGCACCAGCAGCATGTTGGACAATATCGACCCCAAGAGCGTCCCCTGCACAACCGCTATCAGACCCTGACACGCACACACACACACACGCCTCCCTTCCCTGCAGATGGAAAGAAACTGCACTCGATTCACATCCTTTCTCTAACCTGCCGCAGTGACTGCACGGTGAGGATGAGTTCGACGGCATTGCCGAATGTGGCGTTGAGCAGCCCGCCCAGTATCTCCCCAACGTGCAGCGCCAGCTCCTCCGTCGCGCTGCCCAGCGCCTTGGCCAGCGGGACCAAGGCGACGAAATTGAGCGCGAAGATCCAGAAGCTACCCCAGTTGGCGGATGAAGCAACCACACCCAGCGGCACAGCAACCAGCAGCAGATTCAGGCTGCAACACACACACACACACGCACACACACACACAGAGTAGAGAGAGAGAGAAGCCGTCAAAGGCCGATAGAGGTCTTCCCGGATTCTTACCTGTCGTTGAATATCATGTCCTTGAGTGCTGACGCGTCTGACCTCCATGTGAAGACCTTCCTCTCGCTGACCAGCAGGCTGCGTGCGCTCTCGTCCCGCAGGGCGACGAGGGATGGCCCTGACATGGACATCGACGCCGGACATGTCTTTCGGATGAACGACGAGGCACGCTGAAAAGACAGACGTACATTTCACAACAAACATCCGCGTGCGTATGCTCTTCTTGTTCTCGTTCCAGTGCCCTCACGATTCTCTCTTGCGCCATCCTCGCTGAAGTGAAGGTCAATTGATGGATCCCTCAGCTGCGCGGATGAAAATGCACACACTTGTGGTCACACTTGTGGTCGGGAATTGATAGATCTGCGATAGATCTGTTACTTTTGGGCGACCTCTCCCCAAAGTCGCGATTTTCTCAGTTTCCCGGTCTCCTTTTCCGTCAATGGATCGAATGGATGTTATTTTGCTCTTTCCGCAGATCTGTGGCGTTACATCTGCACACGCGATGCAAACTCTGCCCCACAGGTACGAAATCATGCACGCCTACTCATCCGTTGTGCTCATACGGTAGTTACATTCAGGCTTTTATCAGGGAAACAGATTTTGACCGGGCCTTCGTGAGCTATGCGTACGGCGCGTTCGAACGGCCTGATACGTCATCAACAGAATGCGACCTGTCAGGTGAGTGATCAAACTCAGATGTATCTGGACATACCGATGACCATGGTGCGTCCGTGTCTTCTTCTGTGTGTGTGTGTCTGTGTGAGATAGTCAATCGTGAGACGTCGATAGAGCACCACGCACTGATTGGAGTACCAGCTGCAGGCGCGCAACCATGCGATGCGCAAGGAGGAGCGGCGGGGGCAGATGAGATGGAACAGATGGAGAGAATGGGTGGTGGATGCATGGGTGGGTGTATGTTAGTTAGTTGACTGCACTTCTTGTCTCTTCTACATGTGTCTTTCTAGCTGTGTAATATCAGCTGAAATGCCAAACACGCGATGCATGCACGCTGAGCTCACTCGCCTGTCAGTCATGCATACCAGCCGCTACAGACCGCACAAACCATACTCCCACGCAACTTAAGCTATAGAGCACACACGCAGGCACGAGCCAGTCAGCCAGTCAGTCAGCCAGCCATTCGCACGCCGCACTCTCTCTCCCTCGCTCGTTGTGGTCCGCTTATCGATAAGTGCCGCTTCTTGATTGCCGGTCATCCCTTCTTGTTCTTTGAGTTAATTGCGGCTGAGTGTTAAGTACACGACAGCAGCACAACAGACATCGCATCGTACACGCAGCGAGGGCAGGGATATTCTGTTCCTTTACCTTCGCATAGTTCCGCGAGTTTTTCATCCTTGCTCTCTGCGGCCTCCCTGTCGTCATGTCTTGTCCTTTTTCTCTTCGCGCTCAGTCAAATGAAGAGTATGTAGCACAGACCTCAACGCACCAATGTTCATCTCTCTTTTGATGTGTATTCAGGTATGTACGAGGGCTTATCACCCGCCGTCGACTCGTTCCTCTCACTGTTCGGGAGGAACGAACATACGCACAGGACAGGGTGCAGTCATGTACAAGCAATGACACTCTGACTAGCGGAAATGCGTGTCTATTTCTCCGACTTGGCTTCCTTCAGTGATGGATAAGCTGACAGCTGCGGGCGAGTATGTTGAGGTCCAACGGATCAAGGAGCTTATCATGTGGCCAGGTAGAGAAATACTCAATGGATGGGTGTAGCGATAAGTATCACTGAGATGCACTGCAAAATGCTTGCACAGAGCTTGGGGTTCCAGCCCAACAGAGGCAGCACCATCGTGGCACCATCCACAGCCAGCTGTCGCAGCAGTGGCTTTCCGAGGGCACGGCCAAGCACTTCCATGAGGACCGATTCGACATATCACGGTGGACGCTCTTCCACTTTTTACGCGGAGCTGCTGTGCGACAAGCGCCAGAGACGCCAGCTGAAACAGTCCACTCGAGACTTACTCTATCAGAACAACATCAACTGTGTGCTGACCTCGGCGTGGCGCTTATAGGAAGTATGGGCGTCCTATGTCCCTATGTCTCTGCCCCTGCCCTTGTACGAGCTGTGGTGGATGGAGAGTATGTGATGTTGGTTGGCTTTATCAGGGATGCCCCTGAGCCGAACACTCGTTGACAGTTCCACTGCAAGCATGCATCATGTTATCCATCCATCATTTGTGTGGCTGATCATGTCTCCAGGTGGCCACAGTAAATATATCAATCACGTCTCGCGGTCGATCCGCTGTGCAAACCGCTTACACATCGCACCACACGCGCACGGAGACGCACGCAGGGACGCACGGACACAGACAACACCCACATCAATATAGGGGGCACATAAAGGCACACACATGAATGAATCATATTATCAGATCATGCATGTGATGTGTGCAAAAACACTCACACGTACACTCATTCATCATTGTCTTATAATCCTCATTATCACGCTGCAGCAGCATCAACAACAGAAACAAGCATGTTGTCAATGTCCAGCGGCATCGAATTACTCCCGGCGTCCTCCGCCAGCCCGCCCGCCCCAGCAAAGTGGCACGTCAGCTCGGGTGCCGCCCCACCCTCCCCCTCTTTTCCCTGGGAAATGATCGGCTCCAGCCCTGCTGCCAGCGCCAGACACGGGTTGCCGCGCGTAGCCAGCAAGTGCTGAGCACCCCAATCCCTGCAGACAGACAGACACACACACACACACACACAGAGAGAGAGAGAGAGAGAGGGAGAGGGAGAGGGTGAGCCCAAAGCATCTGGATAATTGGTGAGCGTACCAGTCTTCCACTTCTCTCCAACTCCACCGGTGTGTCTCGGGCGACGCGGGGTGCTGCGCGGCATGTACGCTTGACTGCTCCCACCAGGCCTCGATGGCCTGCTGCTCAGACACACACCGTCTGTGCCTGAACAATGGTGGGGCGGGAGGGCCTGCTGGGGGAAGGGGCAGCCCGTGCGGGCCGTGAAGGGGCGGGCCGGCCGCCACTGCCGCCGGCTCGGGCTCGGTCTCGTTGGCCGCGGTTGTGTTGGTGTCGTCGCTTCCCCTTGATCCTGACGTGGATATGGTGAGCATGCAGATGGGGGTGGCTGGGTCGCTGCAGGTGATGGCTGGAGGGTTCTGCTCGCACGTGTCGCCCTCGCACACTCGACATGATGAGTAGCCCGTGTCGGACTCACAGTCTGCACACAGGACACGAAGCAGTCTCCAGATGCCTCTCTGTCTATCTGTCCGTCCGTCCGTGATCGTACCGTACCGATTTCCACGGGGCATTGTGCGCCCCTGACGTAGTGCCCGTCCGTCACCTGCGCCCCGATCCACGCCGTGGCGTGGACGCTCTGCCCGGCCTTCTGGCACCCGATGCGCAGCACCACGTCGGCCACGTCCAAGCCCAGCACCTTCTCACCCCCCTCACCATCGCCAGTCCCCTCCCCACTTCCCTCCCCCTCCACCCCCTCCAGCCCAGCCGACTGAAGCAAGCTGACGGCCGCCGTCCTCGCCGTGAGGGGATAGGTAGTCTTAATGTGCTCGGTGTACTCCCACCAGTGTTTGTCAGGTGTGGAGGGTGCGGTTTCCGGGCCGCCGTTGCGGCCGAAGGCTTGCAGGTCGCCGGAAGAGCCCATGAGGTTGGTGGAGAGGAGAGGGGGGTTGGTGACGATGCTGTTGGGGTCGCTGCCGTCCACTGTGCCGTGGGAGAGCACCCTCACGGCGTCGCCGTCGTCGTCAGACACGTCGAAAATGTCGGTGAAGGCCAGCTCCTGCACCTCAGGGTCGCGGACCGTCATGGCGTCGAGGGAGGGCGGTGGGTCGCGGCAGCTGATGGTGGGCGGGTGGTTGGTCTCCCCTCGACACGAGAGGATGACAGGATTGCTGCACAGGCTGGCGTGGTCCTCGGTTTCCACGTCCATGAGGTGCATGAGGTCGACCGTCAAATTGGTGGGGGGATAGCCGCGCCTGCACTGCAGCGACATGCTGACCATCAGCCCCTCTCGCCCGTCCGTCACAGCCGTCGGGTCTCTCACTGTGCCCTCCCCCTTGATGGACAGCGCCATGCCGCCCAGCACCACCGGCTGCTGCGGCACTCTCACCCGGAGAGAGCCGTCGGACCCGCCTTGCTCCTGGTCGTCATTGGCTGTGGCGGTGCTCTGGCGTATGCGCAACACGTGGTCGATGGGCTCGCTGTCGTCTCCGCCAACCGTTGCAGTGAGCTGGGGTGTGGGGGCTTCCAGAAGTGGGCAGTCATTGCCGTGCTGGCTGGTGACAGCCCCGTCATGGGCCAGGTCTGGTGCCGACATATCGGTATCCTCGCCGTCGACACACTCTGAATGAAAGTGACAATGCAAAACACACATTCCTTCGGCAGGCAGTGCAGTGGGTGCATCTCATCTCATCTCGGCACTCACCGAGATCCAGCACACAAGTGCCCGGGTCAGGTGTGATCTTGGTGCCGTTCTTGTCGGTCATGAGCATAATACCGAAGAGGTCCAGCCTGATGGTGCCCGGCCGGCTGACCGCCCCGCACTCCAAGGCCAGCAGCCCATACTGGCTGCCCACCGACAGCGTCACGCCCCACGCAGGTGACGCGAACGTCACAGCGTCTCCAAGCGCTTTCGCCATCCCGCCGTCAAACGGCGCCCCAGACCCTCCCATGGAGAAGGCCAGCTCACCAGCGCCCCCCCTGATCAGCCCTTGTGAGCTGCTGCTGCTGCTGGTGCTTTGCCGTCCCGTCCCAGGGGCAGAGTGTGCGTTGGCACGTTCTTCTGCGAGCTTGTAGCTGAATGGCGGGAGGCCGTCTGTGGGCGGGGGGTAGCATGTCCGGGGGACGGTCATGACGTACTGGGGGCCCGTGTTGCGCCGCACACGCAGCCGCGTGACCGTCGGCGGGGCTGGGGCTGCCGACGACGAGGGCGATGGCGATGTCGGGGGCATGGCTGCCGACACATCCAGGGGGCTGCTGGGACCGCCCGTACACTCTGATTGATTGATATGAGAGATAGAAAGGACACAGGTTGTCTGTGTGTCTGTGTGTCTGCCTTTGGTTTCTGTTGTGATCTGACCGATGCGCAGGAGGCACTGGTTGGGCGGCGGCGTGGTCTTGGTCTTCGTCTTGGTGTCACCAGCGTACAACAGACTGAAGGAAAGAAGGAACAGACACAAGCAAACAGAATTAATGAATGTGTCCCCTCCTCAATCCCTCCATCCATCCCTTTGTTTACCCCTGCAGATCGATTAAAGCTGACGAGAGCCCCCCGACATTCGCCGCGTCGCACGTGAGGGCAATTCTGTCGTCATCGGTGACGCCCAGCTGCATCGGCCCCCACGAAGTATTGAGTGCGAATCTGAAGGGCCCCTCGCCGCCCCGGAGGTCACACACGTCGGAGATGGGCATAGCGGCCCTGCCGTCGGCACGCAGGGTGGGGATGCGACCACCATTGGAGGGGGAGGCGGTGAAGTGGAGGCCCCTTGCACACTCTGTCGACCATCGGCAAGAGAGAGAGAGAGCGAGATGGATCGATTCCGTGAATGGCATGTTTGGTTCCTTCCTCACGTAGCTGTACGAGACAGACATCGTGTGGAGCGACCGCCTTGGCGCCCCCTCGGTCGGCCACCACCAACGTGCCCGCCAGCTGATTGATACACGCACGTCACGCAGAGAATAGCCTAAGCCACTCACTTGTCGATGTATGTCTGTGTGTGTGGTCTGTCTGTTTCCGCGAAGGTGCACCTACATCGATGGTTGTCTGGTAGACGACCCCGTTGCTGGCGCCCATCATGGCTGCCGACTTGCCCGAGCACTTGAGCTCCAACACGTCAGCCTCACCCACAGGCCTGTTAAACAGACGCCACACATCCACACACACATTGCATTGCTCCCTCCTGTCCCCCTCTCTCTGTGAGTCTGTCAGTCACCTGATAGCAAGCTCCACGCCCACATCGATGACAATGTGGTGAGGGCTCTGCCTGAAGTAGCCGATGTTTTTGGTGCTGAAAGTGCTCCGAAACGGCGGAATGCTCGACCGGGGGTGCAGCGAACACACAGACGTCATGGACGTCCTCGCGATCACCCCATCGACCTCTGCCGTGAGGCTCGGCAGGGCAGCGAGCCGGTCAGCCGGGGTGACCAGGGGGTGGCTGTAGCCAAAGGGCGAGTTAAGGGGGGCGCGTGCAAAGGTGGGCGAGTCAGTGGCGAGGCACTCGATGCCAAATGCCTGACCGCCGCTGGTGGAGCTCAGGGTGAGGTGGGAGTCGATCATGACCAATGGGGGGTCGCGGGACGGCGAGAGGAAGACCATCGACGGGCCCAGGGGGGCCTGGCCCTCGCAAAGCAGCTCAAGCTGCCACTGGGACGATGTGTCGTTTTCGCGATGGACAGTCACGCGGGCCCCCGGACGGGGATAGTACGGCTCGCCCCCAAAGGCCTGCACATAGGGGTGGTCCGGCTGCGATTCGACGGGTATTGGCGAAGGGACGGTTGGGAAGACGTCCTTTAGTGGCAGGGTGACGGGGTCGCCGCCGATGATGGCCTGGAGGTAGGGGGCCTGCATTGCAATCACAAGCAGCAAACAAGCCAGTGAGCCATACATAATGATCGGGGATTCCTTCCGACGAGCAGAGAGTACCTACCTTTGCGACGATGTATGCGTGGGAGGGGCGCTCGCTGCAGTCTGCACGACCAGACACACATATATATACCGACAAGCATCCCATATATATCTCTTTCGAAAGAACAGCCACCCACCGACGTGCAGCCAGCAGTCGTCGTCCGGCGTGGCTCTGGCCTCCCTCCCCCGGCCGTCCGTCACCAGCAGCCTCTCCGCCAGTGGCAGATGATGCAGCCCCGCACCTCCCGCCGCGCCATCACAGCCGACCAGCAGCACACCGCCCCCGTCCACAGTGACGTTCAGACCACCATCGTGGACGCCATCATTATTTTCCAGCGTGTAAGTGAAGGGCGGCGTGCCGCCGTTGAGAGGGAAGAGCGACGTCATGGGCAGGGCCACTGCCGGGGCGGCGGCGGCCACAACAGTGTAGGGCCGCTCTGCCGGGCACCTGAAGGACGGCCCAAGGCCGGCTTCCGTCGCCACGCACATCAACAGGAGGAGCAGCAGCGCTGTCCAGACCACCCCATTCCGCATCTCACCTGCCAAATGTCACCTCATCATCGGCACACTCGAACAGCCCTATTCTATTGACACGTCATTTTGTTCAGGCAGGGGGAAATAATAGCACATAGAAATCCAAGCCGCCGGGGCGCCGGCCCGCTGGGAAATACTACCGATCAGAGAAATCAGGCACATTCGGGACTCGCGAAGCTTGCTAGCGCGGCACAAAGTGTTCCTCCGTCCGTAAATGGGCACCAGCCGTTCCGTTGTGGGGGCTTCGCATGCGAGCCTGGGGGCTTTGCATGCATTTCCGACGGAGGAGGGAACTTCATCTGTGTGTCGGCTGTGCAGAGATCGATGCCTTATCGCAAGCTTCCCTTCAAGGACTTCCCACTCGCGGCCATTTCCCTCCTCCCGGATCCGTCCCCTTGAGTGAGTCGTTATCTTTTCTTTGGTCGACGTCGTTCTTCCCTCTGCCTCCATAGAGAAGCATCGCCCTCAGGTGAGAGAGGGATAGAAAGGCATTTCGTGTGAACAACCAGGGATCGATGCCTTATCGCAAGCTTCCCTTCAAGGACTTCCCACTCGCGGCCATTTCCCTCCTCCCGGATCCGTCCCCTTGAGTGAGTCGTTATCTTTTCTTTGGTCGACGTCGTTCTTCCCTCTGCCTCCATAGAGAAGCATCGCCCTCAGGTGAGAGAGGGATAGAAAGGCATTTCGTGTGAACAACCAGGGGCGGCACTACATATTGGAGCGGCATGACGAACGATGGATGTGGTATGCACTTGCTGCAGGTATGTCAGAACAGCCCGACTATCCCGACTATCCCGAGGCCCTCACCGACGGCATCATCCGCCCTGACTGATTTGCGGCGGGACGACCAGATTGCGCACCTCAAGGAACAAGTGGGGCAGTTCAGAGGACGAGAGGAGGTCCTGAGAGAGGAAAGAGAGCGGCTCCGCAAGGAGATTCAGCAGCTCCGCGCTGGCGGCTCGGCCCCCCCTTCTGGCGTGCACACCAAGATGTACAAGCCAACTGGGGGTAAGGCAGGCAAGTACGAGGGTGAGCTCGATAGCAACGGCTTCCCAGATGGCCTGGGAGTGCTAAAGAATATGGGCGACGGCGCCCTGCTCTATGAGGGCTCCTGGCGGGCCGGCAAGTTCCACGGCGAGGGCACCAAGTTCTTCGATGACGACCCCTCCAAGATGGAGTACACGGGCTGGTGGAAAGACGGCAAACGAGACGGCGTCGGCAAATCATTCCTCCGCAGCGGCGCGATGGAATACTACGGAGAGTGGGAGGCTGACGAATACCATGGACACGGCACCAAATATCACAGGGGCGGCGTTCAGAAAGAGTACGAGGGGCAATGGCAGCAAGGGATGTATCACGGCGAAGGCATCAAGTATCGGCCAGGAGGGATGGCTGAGTACGAAGGGCAGTGGCATCAGGGTGTGTATCATGGAGA